TACATGCTTTTGTTTAACTCACTGTTATTATTCTACATGCTTTTGTTTAACTCACTGTCTGTTATTATTCTACATGCTTTTGTTTAACTCACTGTTATTATTATTCTACATGATTTTGTTTAACTCACTTGTTATTATTCTACATGCTTTTGTTTAACTCACTGTCTGTTGTTATTATTCTACACGCTTTTATTTAACTCACGCTGTCTGTTGTTGTTGTATCCTCAAATCTTGTAACTCAATTGTAACCCACTTCCCAATGTGGTATCGTCTGCAAACTTGGTATACTTATGTCATACTGATGACAATACTATATTCTATCATTACAAATTAAAAATATGTACTTTTAAACATTATTTTTACACGCTTTCTATTAACTCACTCTGTTGTTGTCGTATCCTTAAATATTGTAACTCAATTTTAAGCCACTTCTCAATGTGGTATTGACTGCAAACTTGGTATATCTTCTTTGGTAGGACAGCGCTGTCCTACCAGACAGTCTCGTCCCTTCACCTGATGAAGGCCGCTTGTGTTGTGGCCGAAACGTCGTAAGAATATTGTGTTATTTTATTTTATCAATTTATTATTTTATTCTCATCCAAAGAAGATGAATCATTGCAGTCACGAAAGCTTTAAATCGAAATTTAAACTTGGTATACGTATGTCATACTGATGACAATACTATATTCTATCATTAAAAATAAAAACACATTTTTTTAAACATTATTTTTTACATGTTATGTTTCGGCTTGGGTCTAATTGTCCACGCTCAACTGACGTTGGCTGTAAATCACCACGGCTCCTTACATTGTGGCAAGCTTTGCGGCCACTTCCTGGAGTCGTGGAGTTCTGCCATTACGAGTACGGTACATTTCATTAAAGCGTGTTTAAAAAAAAGTATTTGTAAATATTACTTATTTTATTATAGTAGAGGCAGAGAACCTCAAGGACCCCCACCCAAACTCCTGCCCTTCCCTCTCCATTGATCATGCAGGACAGCCATCAAGCCACCACCCCCGGGTCCTCTCCACTCTCTAGGCCCCGCATGCGCAGTTGGGCAAACAGACAGACAGACATACACAGCAACACACTCGGGGACACACGCAGACACACACACAGAGACAAGCGCAGAGACGCACACATGGAGACACGGACACACATTTACTCACAAACACGGAGACATGCAGTTGGACAAATTTTTGTCAAGGGATTTGTAAGGGCCACTCGATTTCCTTTCTCTCGATAAGATCAGCATAAGCAAGGGATTGTGAAATCTTTCTCAAGCTACAACGCATTCCGACCCAGTCACCCGGTCCCACCGATTCTTTGGTGGTTTGATGTGCCGTGAAATATGAGCAAGCTCGTAAGTACGTGGAATAAAAAAAAGTTTGAGAAGTATCGCCTCACAGCCTTGTTGAAACATTAAACTACGTTTTTTTTTATTTTACCAGGTAAGACCCACTGAACTATATAGCTCTTTTTCAGAAGTGACCTGGCCACAAATGATAGCTCAACGAAGTGGCTTGTCACGTGGAAATAAATTCGGTGCCAAATGCTTTAAACGCGTGTTTCTTATATGTGGAGGGAAAAACCGGAGGACCCAGAGAAAAATCCAGGGGATCACAGGGTGAACATGCACACTCCAAATATACATGCGTCAGGGTCGGGATCGAATCCACTACCTCCTGCATTCGAAGCGAGGGATTTAACATCTCGTCACGGCGGCGCGATGACGATGGTGATGACAGACTTATATCATAAGGAATCCCTGTTCCTATTTGTCATCGCAGTGGTTTGAACATGCCTCTGATAAGTATCTGGTGATGCCGTGTTGGCAGCGGTGCACGAACACAACGTAAAAACGCACATTCGTCAATCACACTGTGGCCTGAAGAGAAATCATATAACGAGCGACGTTTCGAGAAATGGTCCTTCATCGCATAGCATGTGCTAGCATAGCATGTGTGCTATGAGGAAGGGCTATTGCCCGAAACGTCTTATACAGTATGTATATATTTTTTAAGGCAGTGTTAATTGAGGAATGTGTTGAATTTTTCTGCTTAAGTTTGGGTTGGTTAGGAGTGGTTGCTGGGGGGGGGGGGGGGGTGCCCAGGACTTGTTCATAAATCACTCGCCACTGTCGTTAACCATGACCAGGAATCCAATGCGGGCTGCCGGTTTAATAGGTCAGTGCGCTGACCACTGCACCACCGCTCCATCCCACCATCATCTTTCATTCAATGATATTTGTCTCGGGCTGTGAACAATATTGATTCAGGAGGTTCACAGTGAGTGGTCCGAAATTCATAACGAGTGTTACTATAGACAGCAGGATCCTATGCCCCTTCTCTGTAATAAATAAACAGAATAAACTATACATTTTGATTGAAAGCTTTCGTGACTGCAGGGATTCATATTCTTGGTTCTTTCGGTAAAGTCATGTAGAAGGGAAACAATCAAATATAAAAATATAAAACAATAAAATTCTCACGACGTTTTGACTGCAACACAAGCAATCATCATCAGGTGTGAAAACCACAGCAAGAAAATTTGAAAAAAGTGGCGTTTTTTTAACGTTAGCACCACGGAGAGCGATTAGGCAGTTATTCAGATGGACGTGGTGCTAACGTTAAAAAAACCCGCCACTTTTTTCAAATTTTCTTGCTGTGGTTTTCACACCTGATGATGATTGCTTGTGTTGCAGTCGAAACGTCGTGAGAATTTTATTGTTTTATATTTTTATTATTTTATTGTTTCCCTTCTACGTGACTTTACAGAATAAACTATGTTAAGTGCCTTTTGCTCTCAAGGGGCATACGGATCTCAGGATTTGCTTAAGCACTTGAAGATGATGATGAAATATATCCGTGCTTATTAAGTGCACCTATTATGCCACTGTACTTTTTGCTGACAGCTACTGCGCTTTAGAAGTGTATTTTTTCGTACTCTTAGTAATTATATTTCCTTGGACTAACCTGAAAGTTTAGCACAACAAGACTGCAGTTTGGTGTAAATGTGCATACAAAAGGTATTCACATGCCACGAAAATATGAACAATAGTCAGTGCAATTTAAAAAAATTACTCAGGTAAAGAATGTGCACTAAGTTAAAATAATTTTCATCAGGGAACAAGAAAGGCCTCAAAGTGCAAATTGGTGAAAAGCCGGTCAGACTGGGTAAAAAATGTGAACAGAAACTGACAAAAAAGTGAAGCAGAATTCTCCCCTCGATTTTCAAGATACAGTAATAATCTTACGTCAACTATGTCACGCAAGCCAACAGGTAAATGTTTCAACTCTCACCAGTGAACATCCAAATGCTGCACGTTTAGTTATCCTTTTAGAAACAATGTTGTCGCTATTCACTCATGACTTCTGAACAAGGCAAAGAAGGCCGAACGCTCACGAGTCACAGTGCAAAGTTAAATGGAATTGAAAAGTGGAAGCAGATCTGTCCAGCTACAGCTTTCTCTCTAAAACAAAACTAATACCTATTTATACATGGGACTTGCCTCACAGGTGACTTACCTAGCTTATGTACACACACATTACTCTCAAGATTGCTCCAAGGGTCCACCTGGAAATGTACAAGACCTGGCACATGCATTCTAGGAATGCCCGGCAATCAAAGCCTGTCTGGAAGAAATCCATTAATTTCTTAGCAAGCCATACTCTGAATAGATTACATTTCACATCATAAAATAACCTCCTGGATTTATACAACGCCACTTTTACCCCGTTTCAAAAACACATCCTTGGTTACCATCCTGTTCTGGCTACTGGATGGTCTGCAATTGTTTAAAGTCAGAATGTGTCAGTGGCCACCTATAAAAACTAGATTTAATGTTGGTGCTAAAATCGAAGTTTACACTACTGCATTGTAATGCATATAATAAATAGCTCTGCAATGTGTTTTCTGGTTGTACCATGTTGTATTTCTTCCTTTTTCAATAATTTTAAATGTGAACTTGTCTAATGAAATGTTATTTTTCTTATATATCTCTATGTGCATTCACAGGCATCCCGGGGTCTTTTGAAACAACAGGCTAAGCGATCTGCCATTTACCACCAACACAGAATATATACTTCAGACGATGGTGTCGATGTTCATCGCATGGCTGCCAAATAAGACTTTGCCGCTCGACTACATCCACACGTCGATTCTCAAATCATACTCGGATGTGCTTGAGCCGCTGATTGACCACCTAGCAAATATTTAGTTCAGCGACGGCCGTTTCCCAGACCGGTTCCAAATGGCACAGGTAACACCCCTCTTGAAAAAAGTTGGCTTGAGCTTTAGTGACCTGGCAAATGATCGCCAAATCTCAAACCTGAATACGATTTCAAAGATCATAGAGCGGCTTTGTCTGAAATGGTTACTTCCCCACGTCACTACGACGGGCAGATTCAACCCATTGCCGATGGCGTCCCAGAAGTTCCACAATACTGAGACGGCTCTCCTAAAGATCACTGATGACCTCTTTAAGATCATGGATGACTGGTGCACTGCAGTTTTGATTGGTCTCCATCTCTCAGCCGCATTCAACACCATCGACCATGAGATACTCATCAGGCGGCTAAGGTCAAAGTTCGGTGTATTGGGTATGGTACTAAGGTGGATTGAGTCATACCTACATGGTCGATTACAGTTCGTCCAGGTGGGTGACGAACAGTCATCGCCTATGCTGTGCCTAGTTGGCATGCCACAGGGGTCCGTCCTCGGGCCCTTCCTATTTTCAACGTGCGTCTCGCATGACATCAAGTTCCATCAACATGCCGATGATACACACTTGTATACCGTAGTGAAGTCAAAGTAAGATATGGAGAGCCTCGGTAACTTCTAAGATTGCACGTGAGCGGTGCTCGTGTTGTTTTCACGAAACTAAAATCGGGGGTTCAGCTGGTTGGCACTTGGGCTCAGGTACAAACTAATTGTGGGAGGATTAGGTGTGGTGGTCACAGACTCCATTAGGTGTGGTGGTCACAGACTCCACGTCTTACCAACGTGGCTGTAGGAAAGACAACAGAAGGAGCCGGCCACTTGTTGGTAATCAAGGAGCGGAAGTCGTAGCACTTTGTAATGACGCTGCAGGCGACATCACCAGCCTCTGGGTAGTCCACTTTCAGACCACCTCTGCAATGCATGGAACATGGGACGTGAAGCAATGCTTTTAGCATTCGGTAATTTGAACACGGTCACGTGAAAACCACGTGCAACATTTTACCAGGACGAGTCAAGTGAACTTGTCTCTCGGCTCAAGTGAGCAATGGGGGAGGTGCTCAGGAGGTGCTTGGAGCCAGGAGTGCCAATTTCACTCTTTTATGACCTAAGCCAGCCTCTCCAGAGGCTGATCACTGTTGACCTTCCACAAGGTAGTACACTCATTTTAAATCTTAGCAGGATGATGGGAGTCAACCCCTGACCAGAATTTTTACTTAGAAACACCTAATTTCCATTTCAGCACTGTAACTGCTGCATCAGCGTCATATTTTTAAGGATAAGCCTAATCGCCAAATTATAATGAATGGTTAATCAAACGCCATTGATTGAAACACATGTGTGATAACAGACAATATATTTAAATGCAGCATATTTATATGTTTGATAATTGACAGCATATTTAAATGCTGCATATTTATAGATGCTTGATTATTGAACTTGACTTAATCTGTCCTCGATTATCAAATATATTCGTCAATAATAAAACATAGGATTTATAAGTTTATCTTAAATGTACAACAAACATTTATTAAGGACATAAAATACGTTTATTATGTTTTGTTGAAAAACTAACATATAAAGAACCAAAGATAGCAACAAATATGTCATAATTCTTCACTTCCTTTAAAAAAATATATTTTCAATTATAGTACAGTGAAATATACTTTCATGAACTTGTATATATAATTAAAACGTAACGTTTTTTAAAAATAAATAAAGACATTTCAATAAACGTTATTTAAAAAAAAATATATTAATTTCACATGTGTACATCCACAAGGACGAATATCTATGAGATTGAGCAACGAAATTAGCTTTTGTGCAGCTTCTGAGCGGATTGTTGCATGGTGGAATCTCAGGAGATGGCAGCAGCTTGAAGAGGCCTTCATCCAGCAGTGGATTGATAATGGCTGATTGAGCTATTCAATTACACGCTTTACTGTCACTGCTCAATCAAGCAATATGGTGGCACTCATCTCCATTGGTTGTTCGAAGTTTGTGATAAAGGTTTCACATTCCTATGACTGGGGCTAGTATATCCATGTACAATAACATCTGACTTCCCACAAAATGGAACTCATTTTATTGACCTCGTAAAGGGATGTTGTGGGGCAAGTCAACCCCCAGCTGGGATGTGATTCCAGAACCTTCCAATTGCAACTCCAGCACCACAACCGGTGGCACAAGATAAATGTAGCCAAGTGCAAACATGAACGCGAAGTTAATTCTAAAAATAAACAACTAAATTTACATTGCTACTTACTGGCACATGCGCATTTCATCCTGTGGAAATATGTCAATGCAGTCCGGATCGAATGTGTTGACATTGATCTGTTGCCCTGTGCAGCACAAGGCACTCATCAGCAGTACTGCGGCCGTCACCAACATGATTCCTGAAATTCAAGTTTTACAACAGCGAGTAAACGACAACCCTCATTTCATTTCATTTATTAGGTATAGCCCTGTGAGCCATGCGGCTCTACATATGAACTAAACTAATTTTACTTTACCAGGTAAGGGCCACTGAGCTACATTGCCCGTTTTTCAGAAGCAACTTGGCCATCATATCACGTGGAAATGTATAGCAGCCAAATACTCTCAACGCATGATGCTTCTAAATGTGGAGTAGTCGGAGAAAAATCCACACGGCCACAGGGAAATAGACATGCAAACTCCAAATATGCAACAGGCGCCCAGGGGTCGGGATCGAACCCACGACCTCCTCTCTGTACCAGGTGAGGTCGTTAACATTTCGCCACAGTGGTGCCTAATGAACATGAATGAGCTCAGCCACATGCGAGCCGTTACGCTGGTCAATGTGTTGGGTTGTTCTAGGTAAGTGCAAAGGCTGCTTCTTTCGGAGCCCATCAGCTGACGATGCGTAGTGAGAACGTCTAGATTGGAACATTGCACATCATTTGCGTTGACATGTCACATGCGCAAACCCTGAAGGTTCTTGTTAAATGTGGTCAATTTACCGTGCCCGAGATGTGGATATGTGTTTGAATGTTATTCCCCCGCGTGTATGGGGTTTTACCCAGACACTATTCACACAAGTAAATCGATTCAATAAGAAAATCGATTCAATAAGAAACTCAATGCAACGTAACAAGCAAGAAAATTTCTGAAAAAAAGTGTTAAAGCTCAGCCGAACTTCCCTGGGTAAATTATACGGTAACATTATTACACACTCATTAATTAATAACTTTCGTGTCAAAACACATTAACATTAATTCGCGGTAAATTAACAGTGTTGTTCAAACAGCTGTTAGAAAGTGTCCAAAGTTAACAGCGGTTTAAGTCTTCGCTGCCATATGTGGAATGACCACAACTGATGAGCACTTCCATATTCTTGGTTCTTTCGGTAAAGTCACGTAGAAGGGAAACTATTTTCTTGCTGTGGTTTTCACGCCTGATGATGATTGCTTGTGTTGCAGTCGAAACGTCGTGAGAATTTTATTGTTTTAAATTTAGATTATTTTATTGTTTCCCTTCTACGTGACTTTACCGAAAGAACCAAGAATATGAATCCCTGCAGTCACGAAAGCTTTAAATAAAAATTCACTCTTCCATGGTTATTTACAGCTACAGTGATCGTAGTTTATGTATTAGCGATGCACATTACGGTCATCCTGCTGCGGATAATAATATTAAGCGGTGAGTGCATTCACCAAAAAAAGCGTTACATATACTTTTCGCCAACACCAATGAAACCCTACTATTAGCTATTCTCTGCGACTCGATGTGCATCGCCTGTCGCTATTTCGAGCTCTCTCAAATTCACGTCCAGCTCCGGCAGGCAGAAGTTAAGCGACACAGCGCGCAGTGGAGGGGCTTGCACCTCGTTGAGCAAAGAGTTTGCAAAGACCAAAAAAAAGCCTCATCGCAGCTGTTCGGGGCAAGTCATCGCGATAATCGAGACTAGCACAGGAAGAGCAGCGGCACAGTTTCATCACGACGCAGTTACAGCCTTCGAAAGCAATTAAAACAATTTAATTTTAAGGACGCGCTTCGGTAAGCTAAAGCAAATCACCAATGCCCAAGCATTGTAAACGGTGGTCCAGATGTCTTGTCACACCCCTTCCCATTTAATTCTCTAAAACGTAGTTTTACGTAAGGTTTATTTAAAACAGAAATTAATATGGAAATATATGTTAGGGGTCAGTTAATTTGGGGGGGGGGGGTCACAAGACATTTGGACCATCCTGTAGACCAACAGGCACGCGCAGCGGTACGCGTGCCCAATGTACGTTAGAGCCCGCAGAACACGTGTGGACTGTGTGTGTACTGTGTGTGTGTACTGTGTGTGTACTGTGTGTGTGTACCAGGCACTGACACCTGACGCAATTGGCACGCGAGACAAAAATCAGTGCGAGACAATCAACGGCGGCTGATCTGCAGCTCGCAACCTGCACAAGGCAACGCCGCGTCTCACCTGCTCGCAGCATCTCCTCTCCGTGTGCGTCTGTGTGCGTGCGCAATGAGGGTTGGGGGGGGAGGATGAGGCAACGTCAACTCTGTGCGTCTCCCTCCGCCCCCTTTCGTCGCTGCCGACGCCACCAAACACAAGCACCCACCCACCAAACACAAGCACCCACCCACCAAACACAAGCACCCACCCACCAAACACAAGCACCCACCCACCAAACACAAGCACCCACCCACCAAACACAAGCACCCACCCACCAAACACAAGCACCCACCCACCAAACACAAGCACCCACCCACCAAACACAAGCACCCACCCACCAAACACAAGCACCCACCCACCAAACACAAGCACCCACCCACCAAACACAAGCACCCACCCACCAAACACAAGCACCCACCCACCAAACACAAGCACCCACCCACCAAACACAAGCACCCACCCACCAAACACAAGCACCCACCCACCAAACACAAGCACCCACCCACCAAACACAAGCACCCACCCACCAAACACAAGCACCCACCCACCAAACACAAGCACCCACCCACCAACACAAGCACCCAACCACCAAACACAAGCACCCACCCACCAAACACAAGCACCCACCACCAAACACAAGCACCCACCCACCAAACACAAGCACCCACCACCAAACACAAGCACCCACCACCAAACACAAGCACCCACCACCAAACACAAGCACCCACCACAAACACAAGCACCCACCACCAAACACAAGCACCCACCACCAAACACAAGCACCCACCACCAAACACAAGCACCCACCACCAAACACAAGCACCCACCACCAAACACAAGCACCCACCCACCAAACACAAGCACCCACCAAACACAAGCACCCACCCACCAAACACAAGCACCCACCCACCAAACACAACCACCCACCACCAAACACAACCACCCACCACCAAACACAACCACCCACCACCAAACACAAGCACCCACCACCAAACACAACCACCCACCCACCAAACACAACCACCCACCACCAAACACAACCACCCACCACCAAACACAAGCACCCACCACCAAACACAACCACCCACCACCAAACACAAGCACCCACCACCAAACACAACCACCCACCACCAAACACAAGCACCCACCCACCAAACACAACCACCCACCACCAAACACAACCACCCACCACCAAACACAACCACCCACCCACCAAACACAACCACCCACCACCAAACACAACCACCCACCACCAAACACAACCACCCACCACCAAACACAAGCACCAAACACAACCACCCACCACCAAACACAACCACCCACCACCAAACACAAGCACCCACCCACCAAACACAACCACCCACCACCAAACACAAGCACCCACCACCAAACACAACCACCCACCACCAAACACAAGCACCCACCCACCAAACACAACCACCCACCACCAAACACAAGCACCCACCACCAAACACAACCACCCACCACCAAACACAACCACCCACCACCAAACACAACCACCCACCACCAAACACAACCACCCACCACCAAACACAACCACCCACCACCAAACACAACCACCCACCACCAAACACAACCACCCACCTACCAAACACAACCACCCACCACCAAACACAAGCACCCACCACCAAACACAAGCACCCACCACCAAACACAAGCACCCACCACCAAACACAAGCACCCACCACCAAACACAAGCACCCACCACCAAACACAAGCACCCACCACCAAACACAAGCACCCACCACCAAACACAAGCACCCACCACCAAACACAAGCACCCACCCACCAAACACAAGCACCCACCAAACACAAGCACCCACCCACCAAACACAAGCACCCACCCACCAAACACAACCACCCACCACCAAACACAACCACCCACCACCAAACACAACCACCCACCACCAAACACAAGCACCCACCACCAAACACAACCACCCACCCACCAAACACAACCACCCACCACCAAACACAACCACCCACCACCAAACACAAGCACCCACCAACACAACACCACAAACACAAGCACCCACCACCAAACACAAGCACCCACCACCAAACACAACCACCCACCACCAAAACACAAGCCACCCACCCACCAACACAACCACCCACCACCAAACACAACCACCCACACACCAAACACAACCACCCACCACCAAACACAACCACCCACCACCAAACACAACCACCCAACACAACACCCACCACCAAACACAACCACCCACCACCAAACACACAACCACCCACCACCAACACACAACCACCCACCACCAACACACAAGCACCCACCACCAAACACAACCACCACCACCAAACACAACCACCCACCACCAAACACAACGCACCCACCACCAAACACAACCACCACAAAGCACACCCACCACCAAACACAAGCACCCACCACCAAACACAACCACCCACCACCAAACACAAGCCACCCCACCACCAAACACAAGCACCCACCACCAAACACAAGCACCCACCACCAAACACAAGCACCCACCACCAAACACAAGCACCCACCACCAAACACAACCACCCACCACCAAACACAACCACCACCACCAAACACAAGCACCCACCACCAAACACAACACCCACCACCAAACACAAGCCACCCACCACCAAACACAACCACCCACCACCAAACACAACCACCCACCCCAAACACAACCACCCACCACCAAACACAACCACCCACCACCAAACACAAGCACCCACCACCAAACACAACCACCCACCACCAAACACAACCACCCACCACCAAACACAACCACCCACCACCAAACACAACCACCCACCACCAAACACAACCACCCACCACCAAACACAACCACCCACCACCAAACACAACCACCCACCACCAAACACAACCACCCACCACCAAACACAACCACCCACCACCAAACACAACCACCCACCACCAAACACAACCACCCACCACCAAACACAACCACCCACCACCAACACAACCACCCACCACCAAACACAACCACCCACCACCAAACACAACCACCCACCACCAAACACAACCACCCACCACCAAACACAACCACCCACCACCAAACACAACCACCCACCACCAAACACAACCACCCACCACCAAACACAACCACCCACCACCAAACACAACCACCCACCACCAAACACAACCACCCACCACCAAACACAACCACCCACCACCAAACACAACCACCCACCACCAAACACAACCACCCACCACCAAACACAACCACCCACCACCAAACACAACCACCCACCACCAAACACAACCACCCACCACCAAACACAACCACCCACCACCAAACACAACCACCCACCACCAAACACAACCACCCACCACCAAACACAACCACCCACCACCAAACACAACCACCCACCACCAAACACAACCACCCACCACCAAACACAACCACCCACCACCAAACACAACCACCCACCACCAAACACAACCACCCACCACCAAACACAACCACCCACCACCAAACACAACCACCCACCACCAAACACAACCACCCACCACCAAACACAACCACCCACCACCAAACACAACCACCCACCACCAAACACAACCACCCACCACCAAACACAACCACCCACCACCAAACACAACCACCCACCACCAAACACAACCACCCACCACCAAACACAACCACCCACCACCAAACACAACCACCCACCACCAAACACAACCACCCACCACCAAACACAACCACCCACCACCAAACACAACCACCCACCACCAAACACAACCACCCACCACCAAACACAACCACCCACCACCAAACACAACCACCCACCACCAAACACAACCACCCACCACCAAACACAACCACCCACCACCAAACACAACCACCCACCACCAAACACAACCACCCACCACCAAACACAACCACCCACCACCAAACACAACCACCCACCACCAAACACAACCACCCACCACCAAACACAACCACCCACCACCAAACACAACCACCCACCACCAAACACAACCACCCACCACCAAACACAACCACCCACCACCAAACACAACCACCCACCACCAAACACAACCACCCACCACCAAACACAACCACCCACCACCAAACACAACCACCCACCACCAAACACAACCACCCACCACCAAACACAACCACCCACCACCAAACACAACCACCCACCACCAAACACAACCACCCACCACCAAACACAACCACCCACCACCAAACACAACCACCCACCACCAAACACAACCACCCACCACCAAACACAACCACCCACCACCAAACACAACCACCCACCACCAAACACAACCACCCACCACCAAACACAACCACCCACCACCAAACACAACCACCCACCACCAAACACAACCACCCACCACCAAACACAACCACCCACCACCAAACACAACCACCCACCACCAAACACAACCACCCACCACCAAACACAACCACCCACCACCAAACACAACCACCCACCACCAAACACAACCACCCACCACCAAACACAACCACCCACCACCAAACACAACCACCCACCACCAAACACAACCACCCACCACCAAACACAACCACCCACCACCAAACACAACCACCCACCACCAAACACAACCACCCACCACCAAACACAACCACCCACCTACCCCACCGTACGCACGGCGACGGCTCTCTCCCACCGCACCGCGTCGGCAGGGGGTGGGGCGGGGTACGCGATGACGTCACGCGGCGATAATCATGCGCCGCAACTCGTGCGTCGTGACGTCACGGCGCCCACCACCCACTCCCCCCTGCCCATGCCCCGCCCCGCGGTTGCTGCGCGCGGTGACGTCACTTCGTACGATGCGCCGACGCGTGGCTCGGCGGTTATAACCAACCAAGTTGCGCGTGCGGGGACGCCTTCTTCAACCAGCGAACATTTCGCGGACCACACGCTACTTAGCCGAGACTAGACGCGTCCTCGGCGAGAGGAACGCCTAATACAGCGTGGTTTGGGTTCCCGCGGAACCCGCGTAGCGAACCACCCGACCGGAGGGACCGCTGACCGTGGGGTTGACAACCCCGCTGCCGGCGTAGCTCGTTGCGTCATGACGTCACGCGCTCCACGCGACGGGGAAGGAGACGGGGCAGGGCCGGTGTCGGCCGCTTGCTGATAATTGCGAGGCTTGCCGATTCGATGATGACGACGGTGTGTCGGTGGTTGTTAGTTGGTGTTGTTGTTGCTGCTGTTGCTGCGAGGACGATGGTGATCGTCGCGATGGCGGTATGAGGAGCCGGTCGGGGAGAAGGCCCTCGCGCGTCTCGGAGCGAGCCGCTCGCCAGCGAGGGCTCATGGATAGTCCGCTCAACATGGTGCGGCCCTCGTCCGCGCGGTGTTGTTGTTTTGTTGTTGTCGTCGTCGTGATGGTCATGTTGTTCTCCCCGTCGTTTTTTTACCGCGATTACGTTTTCTTGAGGGCGGGATGCCTCGTCGAAAGGTGTTCTCAGAGCCTCGGGTATTTAACAGCGAAACGTAACGGGAGCCCTATGGGGGGGGGGGGGCCCTTGTGGCACAATTGCGTCTTTGGTGATTGAAGAAACGAAGCCAGACTAATGATTTAGATTTGTTAGTCTCCGTGTCCACGGTATTGGACATTTAGCGACGAGTTCTAAGAATCCCAAATTAGTTGTGTACTCTTCTGCGGTGCGTGGTTCGTCACCCACTAACTGCGTACTCTCTCATAAGTATATTCCTGGTTCTTTCGGTAAAGTCACCTAGAAGGGGAACAATAAAATAATACAAACATAAAACAATAAAATTCTCACGACGTAGTCGACTGCAACACAAGCAATCATCATCAGGTGTGAAAACCGCACCTGATGATGATTGACTTTAACGAAAGAACTAAGAATATGAATCCCTGCAGTCACGAAAGCTTTAAATCAAAATTCGTTGTACGTTATATTCTTAGCTCTTTCGGTAAAGTCACGTTGAAGGGAAACAATAAAATACAATTATTTTATTGGTGTACGTTGTTGTGTACAGCTCGTCGAGATGAGTCGATTGCCGCATCGCCGACCATCAACAGACTCAAAATGACTGCATCACGGGCATTTAATGCTTTCGTGAGTGCAGGGATTCATATTCTTGGTTCTTTCGCTAAAGTCACCACCACGTAGAAGGGAAGTAATAAAACAATAAAATTGTCACGACGTTTCGATTGCAAGGAAAACATTTTCTCTCCGTGGTTTTCACACCTGATGATGATGATTGCTTGTGTTGCAATCGAAACGGGTCCGCAATCGGCTTGTAAGGTATCATCAGGTCAATGGTGGGCACATGCATGCAGATGACATGTGGCACAGGGTGAGATGATTTTCCTGGGCAGAGGCGGCGTAAGCAGGCTTTCGTACATTAATTTGGGAGGTTTATTTTCGTGCTTTCGATTCGGGTGCTGATCCAGGCTTACAAAATGACCTAATCTCACAAAGGATGTGAGAACGCGCTTTAGACGCGATGCACAAGACGTTTAGCGTGTTCCTCTTTCACTTTAAGGGGTCATCCATTTAGCACGTACGCATGGAGGGGGGTTAACCCAAATGCGTACGCTTGCGTATGGGGGGGGGGGGCTACTGACAATGTGCGTACGCATAGGAAACGGGGGGGGGTGGGGGTGAAGCCTCGATAATTTGTCTACATTGGCCTTCAAATTAGTTACGTAGATAGTCCGGCGGTGGACTGTTTGCTTAAACAAGTTAATATTATTAATCCTTGATCGTTTCTGCGTGGATTAAATATCGGCCGTTCTATAGGATTCGGGGGGGGGGGGGGGTGCGTCAGGCGTACGTACGCAGGTGTGGGTGGGAGGGGTGTAAAAAAGTACACGTGCCTACAGGGAGGGGGAGAGGGGTCACGTTTTGAGAGATGTGTGCGGTACCTACTAATTAGATGGCCCCTAATCGCCCGTTAATGTATGCAATGTTCGGCATCATCTCGAGTTGTTCATTTTGGACGTTGCTTTTGCAAATTGTCGCAGCGTTAAAATGTTATTTCAGACTGTTCAAGCTAAAATGTACCAAATTATATCTTAAAATAAATCGGTGAAGCAATGTTCATTTAATAGCAAATGGTAAAGTCGGGGAGACATGTAGTCGTAAAGATAATTTTGATATATGGAATCTGTTTATAGGCAGAGACGGTATATGGGCAAGTCCATTCTTCGATGAAAACGTCGATCAAGGTCGTGTTTTGGGGCACTGGCTTTCTCCAGAACATAACATATATTTACAAAGGAGAATGGATAGTCTACAGACTAGAGTGAAAACAGAGTTTGCATAAAAAGGCGCTCGGGAGCTGGCGAGAAGGGCAGCAATGCTCTTAGGAAACAGCCAAAATTGTCCCGAAAAAGTGGCCTAAGTAATGTCTGATGGGCTATTCATATGTTTCCATTTTGGATAGAATGGGGACAGGCGTTTAAGGCACAGCAGCAACACTTAAGTTTGAATAGAGTCAGAATTATCCATGAATATATTGAAATTATTGAAGTAACGACCAACAAACTACAAACTGGGAGTTGATCGATCTAATCAATATATTACAAAATCTACAAATCATGTTCTTGTAAGCAGAAGTCGTAAATGTGAATGCATAATGACATGTAAATAACCTGTACTATGGATCTGATGTCCCTTTGAAATGAACTACTATATGGCACTGTGTGTGATTTATTTTGACTTATGTTGGCCCCGCAGGCCCATTTGCAAGCCAGGAAGGCAGAGAAGTTTCTGGTAGCTGGCAAGTATGAGGATGCTATTGCCTGTCATGTCAAAGCTGCTGGTGAGATCATACGAGGTCATGCACGGCACTGCAGTTCAGCACACATTTTACCCCGTTGATATGTAGGACTTTGTGAAACAGTTTGTGGCAAGCCACATATCTTTGTGCATCTTATCATATAGTTGCATGATCATAGAATACACGTGATAATTGCCATATAATAAACAAAAATAAGAGAAGATGCAAGCCAAAGCGCTACTATGCACGATTCAATTATACACTGAAATCGATGTACAGCAATGCAACTGTTGAAATATGCATCTGGAAAATAGCTTGTTAAATTCTGGTTCCCAGAAACAGGGTTCTGTGTTTACAATCCAACTTATGACATCTGCATATACTGTATATACCATCATGGGATGGATCCCACTATGCACTGCATGTTATAACATGGATTGGGTGGAGGGATTTCAGCATTGATGTCACTAAATTGTGCTTCGGTGGTGTGCCTCAAGGCCACTGATGTAAATATTAAGTGTTATTAACACATCTTAAAATTCTTGTTGGATAACTTCGATCGTTGATGATATCCAGGCAGTTGTGTATCATGTTGTTTTTTAGCTGTGTTAAATATATAAATGTAGATGCTATATCAACTTTTTTAACAGTTACATTGGTGTCACAGCTGTTAGGTGTTTATTTAGGTGCATATTACCTGTTATGACAGACTATGACAAAGGATATTGAACAACATCTCAAAAGTACAGAATGTAGCACAAAGTGATACATGTTGGGAATTAGGCTGAAAGAGAAACATGTGTCAGACAAATGCAAATTTGAAACAATATGCTGACTTAAGGAAAGTGACTGTGGGCAGGAAACATTCAAGAATGGATGATTGTTAGTACAAGGCTGGTGACAGAATAGCAGACAAAGAAGAGAAAACACCCAAGAGCAGGAAAGATCAGTTTATGCAATAGTGAGGTGGATTGTAGCACTGCAGGACCATCGGAGATGGCATGAGCATGGAAAGGCTTTCATTTAGAAGGGAATAGATCATGGCTGATGGTGAAAATGTACAGTATTTTTTTTATAAACTTAATCCAGGTTGGCAAGTCAGTCTATTTAGTTATCAGCTTTATATTTCGAGCCTTGTGCCACATTCTAATTTAATAACGTCAATAAAAGTGTAACAATACTTCCTCAACAGGTAAAATTCAAGATTCTAGTTGCATTGTTATTCTTAAAGGTTTATCTGTTTTTTAGGGTTTCTCGATGAGGCCATGAAGCTTACAGACTCCGAACAGGTACGTGAATGTGTCCATGATGCTATGAATGTGGTGTACTTTCAGTATATTGCAATGCAACTCAATCATATTGGATCTAAGTCGATGGTGCATAGCATTTTCTATGGTGAGATCACAATGTATTTGCACAACAAACAAAATGCAAAATAAACATACTACATTTGTATGACATCGCCATGTAAAAGCACCTAGGCTGAAGTCACTCCCTAACACCACCGTTAAAACTGCAAAATGTCGACCACAATATGTTAATGGTGCTGGCAATAAGAAACACGCGCACCACCTGGCCAGTACACACTCACAATAGAAACCTGGTCACCCCCTGCGTAGGCACTGCTGTCCATGCGCCTGCAACAGCAGGACCACTTGACGCAGCAGCGGCTGGTGCGCGAGCGGTGGCGCCGAGCCCAGCGGGAGCAGCGTCTCCGGGAAGAGCTCCAGAGGAGGGACAGGGAGCGTGCGGCAGATGTCACGGCAGCCATGAGCGCCGCAGACGCGTGCGACAGCGCTGCCGCGCCACTTTCGACCAGAGGCGCCATGAGGACAGCGAATGGTCAGCGTGCAGACAAAAATAGTTTTTCTAACACGGTCTTTGTTAATGATCGGGAAACTTGGAAGGTCGCGGTTGTACGTTGTGGGGAAGTTTAATCGGGAAGGTGATGTTGTGGCATGATGGAACAGAGCGGGTTACTCAGATGAGCATTGGAGTGGCACCTCAAGGTAAACGACCTAAAGCCATCTGGTGCGATACTCTACACTCAACCTTGGAGGTTGAGCACAGAGCACAAGCATGGAAGGAGTACCATCCAAAGGAAATATCTTCACGAGAAGCCATAGGCAGTGAATTTACAGATTCATTATATAAAGAAATGTATTTTAGGTATAATTTATGCATGGCTGGAGATGAGCAATGCATAAGAGGACATGTCAGCAACCTATTGGCTATGGAGGCAGACCTCGCTTAGCATGACCCTGTAGAACACCCACTTGTTATCGCGGAGACATTTTATATGAAAAATATATAAGAAAGTGCTTACAATTGAGAACATGCAAGCAGTTCTGGCCGAGGAAATGTACCCGCCCCCATCACTCGAGCAGCCTATGAGAGCAACACATTCTCAGCCAACCTGACCCCACCACCCGCGATTCGATTATCACGATTCATAGTCACGATTACATTTCAATTACATTGATTTGTTTAGCCGGATGAGAACTCACGAGACCAGGATATAGAGTCTCGGGTGCCACTTAAAAGACACCTCACCACAGAAATTTAGACTGAGGGCATCACTAAGAGCATGAAGTTCCTGGAGCTCTTCTCTTGAGTGACCCGGATTTGGAGCGTAGCAGCTCCATCCTTGTCTCCAACCGCTGCATTGTAGGAGTACAGTAGAATGCACTCGTGAGTACAGAACATGATACATTTTTATTTATGAAAATAACGTTTATCACATTATTAGCACTATTACCGATACCCCAAATTAAGCCTTCATATATTGCTCATAGGAAATAAAGAATGCTGTCATGAACTCATCCCCATATATACAATGATGTAAATAATCCTTTTAGTGCTGATTTGATTCGCGCTCACTTCTCCAGGAACACATCTTGAGCGCGAAGCATCATCTGCCTGTACTCGTGCAGGATCTCAGAGGAAGCCACCAACCCCATATTCAGTTGTGCAATATCATACTATGTTACAAAAACAAGTTTTGCTGCCTGGCGCGTGGGCAGGCAAGTGCTCAGTGGTGACATCACTGCGCACATAGGCGTGATGACGTTACCTGCAACCCACAGCGTTGAGCCGCATTTGTGCGTCTCGCTAACATGATGCCTCCCTTCCCCACCCACCCTCTACCCTGGCCATACATCCTATGCAAATGCAGTGCTAGTAACCCAGAAGTTCAAGTGACGAGGTAACCACCTTATTCACGGTATTAAGAAAGGGTGAGCTCTGAGAGCTAAATAAAACAACAGTAAAAAGCATAAGTAAGGTGGTGCTAGCTGTTGGAACAAATTAGTGGACATAAATACTCCATTCACATGAATAAAATACCTCAATTATTGAACAATGCATCGATCATCTTGTGGGGAAAGGGAGATACAACTAATTTGAAGAATTACAAACCTATTCACCTCTTCACACACGTTTATCAAATGTTTATGAAGATCAGAAACCAAATAATGGTCAATGTAGCTTGCTCTCGTGGAAAGTTGGTTTCTCATTAAAAAGTGTTTTCTATTGAGACACTGCATCATCAGTCAGAATCTAAAAAGAAAATATCAAATACCATACCTAGCCTTTGTAGACTCTTAAAGGGGGTATTTGATTTCGTGGAAACTGAGGCAGTCATCCACGCTCCCACAAACTACGGCTTTAAAAAATAACAATGATCAAAACCAATTGTAAAGATGGTATATCTCTGCTGATATTGGAGAAATAAAGTATTACAAAACAAATTAGAAGATAATTCGTAACAAGGAGATATCCTCTCACCAAGGTTATTCACATTGACCTCATAAGATATTTTATGAAAATGTAATTGGGGGAAAGGCATGAAGATAGAGTTTCAAAGTATTAACCATCTCAACTTGCTGGTGACAAACTCCGGGATATGTATGTATGTTGAACATTCTTTCGCACCGTACGTGATGATGAGAGGTGAGCTACAGGAAACGATTGAACGAATTAAAGCGAGCGGTGATGGAAACTAACGGCTCCATGCCAAACCTCTCTCCGCAGCACACATGAGCTGGGATCTGCGCCAGGGCGGCGCATGCCGGGACCCGCTGGAGCGCGAGCCCGACACACTCTTGTACTACCTGCTTGGCGGCATCGAGCAATCGACGCTGCCCGGAACCAAGGTGCCCAAGGACGCGCGCACGGTGTTGGAGGAGCAGCGCACGCACACGGCAGACTTGCTGCGCATGCTCGGCCTCCTCCTTCGCGACAACGAACGCCTGCGGGCCGACAACGAGCGCCTTCGCGCCGAGAATGAGGCACTGCGCGCCGACGAGTGCCATCGCATGGCGGCAGTGGCGGCGGCAGCTGCCGATGCCGCGGCCTCACCGGGAGTTAGAGCAGGCTTGGGCTTGCCGGTGTGCGGGCTGGACTCGGACACGCACTTTGTGGACCCGCACGAGGTGTGGGGTCTGGCTGGGATGGGCGCCGCGCGGCGTGGCCTGGGGCCGGCCTTCCCGCACGCCCTGACGCCGTTGGGAGAGCTGCCCCCGCTGGAGTTGCCTACGGTGGAAGGGTTTGATCTGAGGGAACTGGAGGACAACAGTGGCCGGAGCTGAGAGGTGGCAATGAATCTTGAGCCTGAATTATGTTATAGTAGTGGGGATAAATTAGCACTCAGAAAAGAACACATTGAATGTTCTGTGGATATTCTGACCCCTGCCTTGGAGATGTAGAATTTCCACCACTGGCTCAGGCCTGCAATAGAGATTAACACTGCCCTTTTGTTCTTTGAACATTGAGACACTTAGATGTAATGAGCCAAGCTTAAAGAAAACACGTGTCCAAACACTATTATATATTACCAACTATTATTGTGGGTATTTTTGGGGCCATCTACTTGGCAAAGTTATCTGGGTCCAATTCAGCATTCTTAATTCAAAATGTCTTGAAAATATTTCCTGTGGGATGTGCTGACCCTGAAATAATTCACCAGTTATGACTTCTCGAGGTCGAGTCACCTTAATAAGAGTGCGAGGTACAGACTATGCACAGGTTGATTCAGCCAAACATTTGTATGCCTGCCGGGGTATGAACTTTATATTAACTCATGAGTATATACATATGTTTGTCCACTGAAAATAGCCCTCAATAACTCGTAGGTTGAAACCTTTGAGCCAGGTATTTAGCCAGGATTTGTGGGCAAGTAATTTAATATTTGATGTGTAAGAACCTACAAAATGCCACCTGAGTTGTGTATATTCAACAGTATGCCAATACACCTGTAAGCATGTGCAATTCTGGGGACTGAGAGTAAAGTACTCGTACTTGGAAGTGTATAATTGATTAAACATGTTATGCAGACCATATTCAACCGTGTAAGCTAGAACCTTACACTTCGTGAGTGCAAAAAGTTACGTTATATATTTTTTGTATGTAGGCTGTGCTGACAAGGGTGTTTAAATAAGTAAACAGACAATAACAATTCTGTAACCTGTCAGTGCGATGTAGGTATAATTTGCATAGTTAATAAGGCATAACCCTGGTAGTCATGTGCAATATTTGTAGTGGCTAGATGGTTGTTTTTTCTGGGTGTTCCGGTTTCATCCCAAGTGTAAACACTCGTTAATTGGGCGATAACGCCTTAATATATGGAGGACAGCAGAGCTTGGGGAATTTGGCAACAGCTCACCCATCTGGTTGCCTTTTCCGATAGTATATGGTTCCTCGTGCCTCTGAGTCATTCTCACTCTTCCACAGTGAGCGAATACTGTGCATGTTAAAAGTTGAAATTATTACTTGTTATGGCAGATGTATCGCATGATCAAATATGGTACATTGGATGACTAACCTTCAAGAGCAGCAATCATTTATTTAGTTTTTTGGCCTCTGGGGATGTAAATGCAAGTGAAATCGATTGCGTAATGAAGCTGCGATATTCTGACAACTGAGGCATGGCAACAATTACAAATTGATGGAATGGCTGCATTCAAATTTGCCATGACACTGAAATCTGGCTGATGCGCAACAACATATGCAAGTGCTTTTTACTTTTTTGTTTTTCCAATAACATTTATGGCACCCAATGGTCAAGCACTTTTCATGAATTCAAATTGTCATGGATAATTATTAAGTGAACTCTTTCTACACATTGTTCCAACCACTGCATAATTCCAACTTATTGCAATTCAGAAGTTCTAAATGTGAGCAGCATTGCCTGGAGGTTGAATCTTTAACTGGTGTACCACTTCTGCCGTTATTAGAAACATGCTTACGTCCGATTGCACCTGTTCCACGATTGAATGGCACTGCTATAGGTAACAGCATTATATATAAAAAAACATTGATACACCCTCGTTATCCTTAACTTAGTAGGTCAAGCTATAGCCACAGAAAGATAATGTGGATTATTGTTGGCTTTACAATGTTATTTTGTATGACCTTTAGCCATTTGATAAAATACAAGGCTAACATGCATTGTAATTATTTTTAAGTAACTTGTGTAACACATTACTAACTTTGACATTGCACTCATGCTTTCTCCCTATCGCAGTACTACGTATCAAGTGTACTGTTTGATGAACATTCATATGTCATGAAAAGATGTTGCTGTTAACATTCTTAATGTTTATTAAGATGTTTTTGTGCATCTGATGTTTAAAAGAAATGTGCTTTGTATTCCATAACAGGTGCATGTTGTGAGCTTGTATTTTTTTTCAGGATAAATTGATCTTAAAAAATTTCACATTTACATATATTAAAGTATGCCTGTGCTTTTAATTTTTTCTTCACACAGGTTGGTTCTGTATACCCAATTTAGAATGTTCAAAATCAACTCGTGTCTTATGTATAGACGAAATTTTTTTCTGCTTCATTACATTCATACAATTCCTTTTTCCATGTAATTGTATTGTGCTTCCAATCGAAATGTTGAAAGTGGTCTACGCAAAAGCTTGATACACACAGTAGTTGTTTACCAGTGGCTTTCTATGTCAAAAATTACGTGATTGTACATATTTGCTTGAGAGCATGTGTTTTATTTCAGCACATGAGTACAAAGCCAACTGCTGTGGATCTGCGTGAACATATTTTAGAGGCAAGAATATAGGGGTGTGTGTGTTGTCACGTGGTCAACATGAACTCTGAACCCAGCTTGTTCACCTGTGAAATATTACAGCACTCCCATCATGGAGCTAAGTGCTTACTTTTTTGTGTGTGGACACGTGCATAACTGGCGCATTACCTCATGAAAATGTTTTGAAAAGAAGTTTAAACACATGCTCGTTCAATATTGTATACGTTGCTCAAGCTGCATGTTTCCGTGTGGTGTCTGGTGTGGAGCAAACGCAGTCGTGGAAATATTTTGTTTTTGAAGATTGGTCATATACTCGCAACGCGTTTTCTGTTCGTCCTTTTACACTATTGCTGGCTTAAATTATTTATTTGAAATGTCATTATTCAACTGAGAAAGAGATATTCTAACTTCACGGGTTTTTGGTGTGGTTCCAAATAAAGAATTGATCGCCCATAAGGTAGTAGAACAGTGTATTTAAGCTGAGCAAGCTATTAGCTCAACTAGAAAATTACATAATGGTATGGTATATGTTAAAACTCGTATTGAAGCTAGTGAACACCCCAGAAACCTAAATTTACAGTATAATACCACTCGTTAGTCCTTATTTACATGAAGGAAAACAACTGGTACAGCACAGCCAATTGGATTGAGCCATGAATTTAAGACCAGGTATGATTATTCTCAAAAGCGTTATAACTTATAACCTGCCTCAAGTCGGTCGTTTTATTCCCCCAAGGTTTAACATATGTATGTTGTGTTTTCGTGTGGTCCCAGCATGAAGCTCCCAGCATGTGGATCGAAACGTCGGACGTCGTGCCAAACATGTGGTACAACCCGAAAACACATCAGACAGCAATACAGCAGCACAACCATAGTTTAATGTTAAACCTTAACATATTCACAGGTTGCCGGAGTCCAAATTGGTTTTTAATGCGCAAGTAAGATTCAAAATGGTTTCCCACTCTAGCATGGGTAATGTGCACATCTCCTGCTTAAAAATATGTCAGTGGTGAAGATACCACATTCTTATGGTGAGGATGTGTTCAACCGTACCACTTTATATCATTAAAAGCTCAGCAGCAGCCTGCACATCGACTTTGAGTTGCAGGTTAGAGAAGTGGGGTCCAATATAAGCGAGTCTGATAAATAGGCAGAAAAAGCACACGTTTAAATTGTATGAATTATAAGTGTACAGTAATTCCTTTGCAAAAAAATCATTTTGCAGCAATGACATTCTCTGCATTTTTTTATGAAACTCATTAAAATCGGTGATATAGAAAAAAATGTCCACTGGTCAATACACAAGTAATGTATTTGCTTAAGCGGATTCATGGATTTAAGGTCCACATTTAACTGACCTCTGACTCCCTGTTACCTTGAGGTAAAATGGTTCATGCGGAGGGAGTTTTATGGTCTTAAATCACTGATGATTCCACGAAAATTACCAATCGTATGCATTTAATCATTGCACTTCATTTTATTTTACCCAGTTCCCATAGTCAACAAATCCCATTGCGAAACGGCAAAACAAGTAGCTGTAAAGGTGGAGAAATGCCAGTTTAATAGGTTCTGTAAACATTATCAACGATGTGTTGATATTCTTCTTGTTGGGAGTAATGAATAAGCTCATTTCAAACTGATTTTAGTTGCACAAATGTCACATTGTTCCAATTAAGTTATTTTAAATATAAAAACAAAGTTCTTGCACATTTGCAATTACAAAAAAATTACCACATTTGTCATGAACACTGCTGCTTATAATGGATACATGTATAGTAGACTAAATTAAATTTTTGTAATAGTTATCCGAGCTCAGCATACATGACTGACAATTGGAAACTCCACTTATGGGGCAATGTAAACATTTCATGGTGCGGTCTCTAATTGCAAATTGCAAATCAGTATTTCTGCGAGAAAGGAGTATTGCTTGTTGTGCTATCTTACCATAACATTTAATTTTACAAGCATTAATGGCTGGCGTGGTTTTTTTTATTTGTGGTTCACCATTGTCAGCTTAGTCCTTTTTAAATTTACGGTACTTTCACAAATGAATATTTAACTGGCATACGATAGTGAAAGCAATGCAATGGCACGTGTGCAATACTACCTGAACAGAAGAATTTGGGGAGGTAAAATATCCAAGTTGTAATGCACTGATATGGAGATTAGTGGATTAAATGTGCAAGTATACGAATGCTTGCATAGGCACCTTGGTCATACTAAATGTAAAAAAACTGGATTTAATACACAGAATATGGAGCAGCATTCTCATAAGTGTGCCAACCACAGCCTGTATATCTAAATTGCCCATTTTTAATTAAAGCATCCACCTATAAGCAACTTTGCAAACGACTTACAATAGTGGAATTGTGAATGAAGTCTTGTTGGCTTATTTAAAACGTATAGACGATTAAAAAAAATGTTAAACAAATATCGATGGCTTCTTCAAAGTGGAAATGTGGAGCTCATTCAGTTGGTGGCTTTACGGAGACCTTATCTTTTCTTTCTAGAACTTGGTTGTGAATTAAAACTAATTACTGAAAGTGGGCAAACATCTCCATATCCTATCCCGCCGGGTTAAGTTCCTAATAACCCATTACGCAACAATTTGTTAAAAAAACCCTATTTTACTTCGTGGCATTTTTTTACTAATACTCACATGTGTAAGTGGTGTATCAAATGGTCATGTAAAACATGTCATATCGAGACTTAAAGATTTCGTGACTGCAGGAATTCATATTCTTTGGGTCTTTCGTGTAAAGTCACATGTTATTTTCTTTGAACCTATCTACGTGACTTTACCGAAAGACCCAAAGAATATGTAATATCCACACCTGTGTGCCATGCAATTTCCATAAAATAGTGGTGCATTTGTTGGAAATTACTGGTGAAATGTACTCGCTCATGAGTGCTGTTCTTTAGTAATCATTGCCAATGTATTCCCACGTACCATGTATACCAAAGTGAGTACACAGTAACAAACATGCAAACAGTTACATTTATCATCTCGCACTGGTTGTCTATGGTAAAGTACCAACACTTAATGTGATATGTATGGGTCCATAAGTAATTGTCCAAATCTATGTAATGTGTCAAGTTTACCTGATGTATTCGTCAGGGAGAAGGAATACACTTAAACCCATTATTTTTTATTGTGCTCTTTGTTACTACTCTTAACTTGAAAACGTGGTATGTTTCTCCCTTTTTCCCATAGCTTCTCAAATTGTATGTTATCCAAAAACTTGAATAAATGGTCAGCATTGAGATATATTACCTTTGCTGTTTTCTTGCACTTAACTTACAAGTTGCCACACGTGAGAAAGAAGGACTGACAAGTGTCCTCTTTAAAACTTACTATGCCTCACAATTGAACAAAATACATCAATGTAAAGCCAACGTTATGAATAAGGAAAGAAGAAAATGATTTGAAGCTTTCGTGACTGCAGGATTCCATACTCTGGTTCTTTCGGTAAAGTCACGTTGGTGACTTTACCGAAAGAACTGCAGTTATCCTGCTGTATCTGTTCCACCTGATGACGGTGGCTTGTGTTGCGATCGAAACGTCGTGATTTATTTTATTCTATACCTACGTTACTTTACCGAAAGAACCAAAGAGTAAATAAGAAAATGCCGATACAATGTAAACATTGAGATCAACAAGCTTAGTCGTTTATAATTTACAATATAAATTCACAGTAAACTGTAAAAATGGTGTGACAAATCAATGTGAGATAGAGGTCCAGACGGAACAAAACGTATCTATATCCCGAATTCAACAATAGACTAGTGTCTATCTGAGTGGTCCTGAACCATTGGTGGCACGTAATTTAATATGTTCATGGCAAGGATGATGATCACTGTTGGCTTCCAACAAAGTGGTATAACTTTAATTAACACAGAGGCAACAGTTGCTCTCCAAACGGAATTTGAATTCAGCCTTCCCATTGCGAGTTGAGTATCACCCAGTCAGATCTTACATATTCCAAATAACATGGAAATGTAATTTTCTTATTTTCGATGTGATTACTCAGTAATGGTAACAAATTGCAGGATGCATGAGCTCACATTGCTACGTTTGGAACAAACTGGTGTAATGCAAAGGCTCAATTGTACGGTGCCCAATTATACTAAAACAGCATGTGTAAACAAATGCACGTGTCGTTGATGATTGGCCATCTGTGTGGCTACATTTACCTTTAAAAACATTTTTTGTTTGTGGAGGGACATATACGGAGGAGGCGTATTGTCTGTTTATTTCTCTTTATAACTTAAACATCCCAAGGTTTGCAAAAGGCGCTATGTAAATACAACATGCATTCGAGTATCATTGATAATATAGACTATCCCAATGAGCTTGTCGCATTGTCAAAGAAACACGCGCGTTTAGATTCCATTCTTTTGCTGCTATAAATTTTAACATGATAAGCAACTTCGTTGAGCTATCATTTGTGGTCAGGTCGCTTCTGAAAAAAAATCTAATAGCCCAGTGGGCTTTACCTGGTAAGGTAAAAATAAATAGTTTAGTTTCATTTGTATGTTTTATTACCTGCACTCCTATCGTGTTTTTTTTTGTATTCTGCTGTTTAGGTAACGTTCTGACCAGCCTCTTACAGGACACCTGTGAATAAAGAGCTTTATAGGTCATCGAATTTCTCAAGTAAAAATACATATTCTTATTCTGACATTAAAGGCAAAGTCAATTATAGCAAATTCCCACCGCTTAAATTGCGATTACTCTCAAATGTTTGCGTGTGAAAACAAAAACGCCACGACCCTCCCTCAATGTCTAGAATTCATTAGGCCCAATCTCAGCACAGGAGCATCTGAGCTATCAGCTCAGAGCCAAGGAAGAAAAAAACACAACACGTACATGGGGGTCCATTCCCAAACCTGAGACTAGTCTTAAATACCCCTTACCTGTCAACCTGTTCGGTTTACCTCCTATTCCTGTGCAGGGAAATTGAGTGTTCAGGTCAGCACGGCGTACAGCCGTTTCAATGCGTGTTTCTCTCCTTGTGATGGCACTTTGTAGGATGCACGTTGAGATTTACAAGGGCACGGGGTGACCAATACGGTCTGAATTGGTCTGTAATAATAAAGGCAACTGATAAGGGGGTTGACAGGTGTGAATACCTAAAGCCCAGAAGGGCAATGACCTGGCCAACCTTCCCCAAACAAAATCCCACCCCACCACCACCACCACCGCGCCTGCTCCGATGAGTCTGGTGTGCCTGAGCCACAGTCCCTGCTTAGATACCGTCCAGAACGTCGTGATGTTGCGATGCGTGTACGTGAGGAGGAGGAGGAGCGGTGGTGGGTGGGTGGTGGATGTTGGACACAAGACACATGCTCACATATCCTTGCCACAGGGGGGCAGCCGCGACACGGCGGATCCTGCAAGGCGGAGGAAGAGACCCGGGCGTCTTCGTCGTTGTTTGAACATTAACCGAGCACTGTACAACAACAACAACCGCCACCGCCGCCGCCGCCGTTCGCCACTAAGTGTCGGTGACGTTCACCACGACGCTCGTGCCAGGCTACGTGCACGTCGAGGCCACGTGAAGCGTCGACTATACGCACCGCGCTCGCCTCCCCACCGCTTGCCATGGCCGGGCTGAACCCGAGGAAGAAACGACGGAAGGAGCCGGGCGACGTGAGCGAGGCCCCCTCGCTCGTGAAGTTCGGCGAGGTCGTCGTGTTTTTGGTCGAGAGGAGGATGGGTGCCAACAGGCGCCGGTTTCTCTCCGGCCTGGCCAGGGGCAAAGGCTTTCGCGTGGACGACCGCTTTAGGTTATTTACGTAATTTTGATTTTTGTGTGTGTGTGTGTTTCTCTCGACGTTCAGCGATATCAACAAAACGTTTATTTAACGAACGCAAAAAAAACGTTGTTCGCATTGACGGACGTCTGTCTCCACGGTTGAAAATGTTGTTGCTGTTGTTGCTGTTGCTGCGAGCGTGAATGGTGGTTGAGTAGCAGGAGTGGAACCGAGGTATCGGGAGACACACGCGTATTTTAACATTATGTAACACAATTTTTTTTCCTGGCCAGGTAGTAAGTGATATTTTTAAATTTGCTCACGCCTAAAATGTATAGAAAATGGCCATTATTATTATTTATTCCCCACAAACTTTGCTTTTGTGACCAGGACTTTACGCGAAGGAATGACACAAATGCACACCACGTTTTCTCATTGAAAATAGGTACATTTCAAAATAGCACTGCCCTGTTCACAAAATCAAAGTTTGTGTGGGAATAATAGCCATTTTCTGTACTTTTGAGACATAACCAATTTGGAAATAACACTTACAATTTGTTACAAAGTGTGATCCGTGTCCGCGTGTGTGCTGCCTCTACTGGTTTATCCATGGCTGTGATGTTGGACGGTGCTGGTGAAACTGATCCTTTAACCCCGAATCCATGGCAATGCACGGGCTGTACTCTTGAATAGGGTTGTTAGCACACGCCAACATGCTCTGATGTATTAAACTATATATACACACGTGTATTTTTTTATCAGGTAAGGCCCACACGAGCTATATAGTTATTTTTCAGAAGCGACCTGGACACAAATGATGGCTCAACAAAGTGACTTATGTGGGAATGTATATTCGCCGAAATACTCTAAACGCATTGCGATTCTCAATGTGGAGGGGAAAACCCGAAAGACCGGGAGAAACATCCACACGATGCGAATATACGTGTATGGCTGCTGAGAATATGAACAGCCAATGCCAGCAATTTGGGGCAGATTGTAACTTCATTTAGCAAAGCATGAGATTGGAGTCAACACCACCATCAAACCTGATATCATCCCCCACTAATACCACAGGCTTAAGTCGGCACCGAGGCCATAAAAGAAAGGGGAGGCTTGGTGCTTTGTTAAATAAAAGACTGACGTGGCCTGGATCGTAGGAGTAAGATAATAATGCTGACTATAAATATTTTGGACCACCAAAGTTGATGCGGAGATGCAAGTGTGGAATTTAGCATGGTACTTGTAATTGAGGATAATGTATATATTGGGTGGCGAGTGGAGAGGGTGTGTTAATCCAGCAGCTGGTAGAGAATGTCATGAAGTATAGCACAGTAATACTATAATAAGTCATTTATCTTTTACGGAAAAGCCTGAATAAGTCCCATGTGTTTTTCAGTCGGGTTTTTCTTGGGACGTTTGGCCAGTCTCTGTATGGGAGAAAACTGGCCTTCTTGCTGAGTAGAAACCCATATGAGGGTACAGCAATCAAACATTTGCAAAGATTAGTCCACAGCCTACTCACATTAATGGCAAACGTAGGTTTTGGAGTACCGTATAATCGTGCAGATGCGGTTAAGGTGGCACGCGCCTGTAACCCAGAACTTTAGAGACAAAGATTGGGGGAAACTCATCCCCTGGGCTTCAAATTGGGCCAGGAGATGGCAGTAAAGTAAGTGGGATTATGATTTCCTTTTATAAGGAATTGACAAAATAGGGAATTGACAATCTACACTATGGAATTGGCCAGACATTTCATTTCATGAACTGCTTCAAATGAAGACGTTTCTAGTTGAATAAATTGCTTTATTACCTAGAGAAATGTATTTTGCTGAACGGTTGATCACGAGCTTAGAGGCTGTAAATCCACTGCGTTATAGCCTTCAAATAACCACTGTCTGTGCCCGCCATAAAAATGGCCATGCTTGCTGTTTCTCAGCGGCGCGGTCACACACGTGGTGTCTGAGGGCCTGTCTGCAGAGGAGGTGCTGAAATGGCTGGGGCGGAATGGTGGTGCTGATATATCTGTCTCCTCTGCAAAGCCGATGTTGCTTCACAGCACTTGGTTTACTGCCAGCATGGAAGCCAACCATCCCATCTCAGTGCAGCCAACACACATATTACAGGTAAATGCGAGTGGCTACCACCCAAAAGAAATGACTGCAATGAAGAGTTGCAAAGTTGTGAATCGTATTATTTTCATTTCAGTGTTATAATCTATCTTGGATTAATTATGCTGGTATAAGAGTGCTTGAGCCACCAATTTTGGCTCCTAGGTGCTGATGTCTGAATCCTTCCATGGGTCAATAACATCAGAGATAATTCCTGAAGTTATTAGCACCACCCCAACACCGGTTTTAGGCAAGCATTTGTTTTGTTTGCACCTATTAGAGTTTTGTTCACAGCATCATCCTGAGGTGGATACATTTCCATTTAGAATGACCATGGAGGATGAAATCACTTCTGAAGCCACTTTAGTAGGCATCAAACTAGTCACTTTAGTCAGGATCAAACTCGAT